GATTTGAGGCCTTTCCAACCACACGGCCCCCCCCCCCGCCCACCACCACCACCACCATTTCCCCCCCCTCGAGGGAGTGGCTGGGCAAATGTCATTGGCCTCTCTGCTAGGCCCCCAACTGCAGCCACCAGATAGGCAGTGAATGCGAACACAATGAATGATTTACTGGACACTGTTGCCTGTGTGTTACTTCTTCTTTCATGTAGGATGTTGGCCAACGGCATGCTTCGTTTAACTTACCACTCACTAAAAACCTCATGTGGGGACGGGGGCTTTTAGTTGCTGCTATTGTGGTGATTTAATGATTTAATTTGATTTAAGATTAATCACCAGGTTGATTGATCTCAAATCCTGTCGACGCAGTGTCCTGAACGGGCCGAGATTTACCCCGCTGGCTGACAAAAATATGAGCTACGCCGTCAGTGCCACAGTACTCAGAGACACACGTGGGGATTTATGTTGTAAACATTGCACAAATCACCTCCGTCATCCGTCACTGTGATCAGCAGCTCCCCTTGTTTGCAGACAGTCTGTTTCTGGTTGTAAATTTTCCCCGAAATACTTAGAATCGCACGTGGGACACGTTGGTGTGTGGTGTGCGAAAGAATGCAGCCAGTACTTCCTGGTCATTGTGTGAGTGTGTGTGTGTGTGTGTGTAAGGGTCAGAGTTGAGTCAAGTCGGTATAGTCTGTAACTCATTTCTGTGTTATTTTATTTTGTTCCTATTATGATGTCTTTTGTGAGACTGACAATCTGTTTTTTTTTTCTGTATGAATTAGTTTCACTTTATTTATTTATCTGTTCTTCATTTTTAAAATGTTGCCACTTAATGAAAAAAAGCTCCTTCCAGGTGGACTTGACTGACAACAACATCCAATGAAACATAAAGAAGTGAAAAGGTTAATGGACCATGCAGTGAGTCTCAGCTGGTTATGATTCCTGGTGTAACAGCCCTGATCACGTTCTACTGGGCAGGAGTACAGAACAGAATCTTCTTGACATGTGGGGCAGTTCAGGCCCATGTCCCCAGGTGAAGAGAGTTGTCACGCTAGCAGAACAATAAAAACAGCATATGCGGACACATACTAAAAAAAAAGCATGTTTGATATAGTATATAATAATAACACTTGTGCAATTTGCAGGAAACTGAGATCACTCTCTGCCATGACACCTACATTTAGCTGCTTTTAAATCTGTGGTCTGAACACAAGCTCTGTGTTTCTTGCGAAGTAGATAATTAGATGGTGGTAGGTGGAAACTAAATATATATGCATTTGACGTTTCACGCTGAAAGTGCTTGCACACCATCTCTGTTCATGTGACGGAAATAGGCTAACAGCACGTTTAACTTCAGAAGGATTGATTTGGTTTTGATGAACCTTATAGTGAGAAGTAACCAGGGGTGATGAAGTTCTGATAACATCCCATAATTATTATTCTTGCACTACAGACATCGTGGCACATTTTAACAGGGAAAGAAAGTGATTTTGCTAATGAAACAGCACCTGCGTACACACAACTACACAAACTGTTTGAATTGTTTCAAATGATCTGTTGCCCAAAGCTAAAATGCTAAACAGGCTGTCAATATTACGAATGGCGTGTAACTACACTCTATACTTACAAAGAAATGAGTGAATTCCAAAGTTCAGTGTACATTTGACCGACTTTTTAAAAAAAGTTGTAATTGGTTTCGTGCTTGTGGTGTGATATGTGTTGATGTGTGATTTAATTTTGCAAGTCATCTGAAGCACGTCCATGTAGAAGCTACACAGGCAATGTTTGTGTGTGTGTGTGTGTGTGTGATGATGCCTTTCTAACGTCCACCACACCCTGCTTCAACTCCCACGGTGACCCCTGGGTGTGTGTTGTCCATTGCTGTTGTACACCGTGACTGAACTGTTGCTCTTCTCCATTGTGAAATCAGTTCTGCAGAAACCCAGCTTGAGGGGCCGTGACAGAGCTTTCCACAAGAGTGACTTTGACTTTTCTTATCTAAACCTGACAACATCTTCACCCAAGAATGAAGAGGAAGAAAATGATCTGTCTCACTTGTTCGCACAGAAAAAGCAGAAGGTGTTGCTTCCCCTTTTTCTGTTGATGTTGATTGATGTAGCAGATAGTTTTCCCTGAAACTCTGGTTTAATTTTTTCGATTAAATAAACAAGTTCACGTCCAGGTGGTATGCAAACTCATAACATGGGGCTGTAATTTTCTAACAATATACACTGATAAAAATTACGATGGTGTCCGTACAAAATAATAATTGCTACCTTCTGGAATTGAACTAACTAGCCTTGTAGTCACAAGGCTATGTGGCTATAATTTGTATCTGTCATAGATGTTTTGATGTTTATTAGTGCAATTCTGATTCAAGGCACATCTTGATTTCCTTTCGCTTAATTAAACTAAAAATACTATTTAGTTTCAGGTAAGCGTACATTCATAAACTCTCCAGTTAAACTATATTTTAGTCATTACGATGACATAAGCACTTATATATATATGCACAAAAATAACGGAATTATTAAATAATAAAAAAATCTGTGTTGCAGTCTGAAGGTACTTGGCACTGTCTACGTCGCTACTGCCATCTACAGATCACTTTAGGGTATGGATGGTTTCCTCCAGGGCGACAGGGGGCGCAGCCCGCATTCGACGAGAGTTCCAGGTCAGCGCAAGCAACGTCAGGCATTCGCTTTCAGGAAGTTGGTAACAAGTTGGAATCCAGGAAGAAGAGTGGCAAAAACTCACGAAAATGGTGCGTAAATCATGTAAATAATTAGTAAACATTTGTTATTCGAGTTTAACAATGTAGTTTTGATGGTTGGACGGTGTTTTTAGGTGTTAGATTCGCGGATGTTTGCAGATGTTCGCGATTGTTAGCTCTCGCCGGGTCTGTAAAGTGTTATGTTCCAGCGTGGCGCTTTTAATGGCTGACGAAACGCCTCGAAAGAATTATAAGTAATAAATAACTGAAGTTTTCAACGAAAATGAACCCCATAGTATTTCCACATAACTGTCAAGTTGAACTCAATTAACTTGCCCATGATTTTTTTTACTTTTTTACTCTTATGCTAAGATATGCTAACACCATAACCCATTTCCTCACAGGGTTTCGTCAAAGTGGTGAAGAATAAAGCCTACTTCAAGAGATATGAAGTAAAATTCAGGAGAAGAAGAGGTGAGCAAAAAAAATTAATTAAAAAAATTGAACTATAATCCTCACAACCATGCACATGTCACATTAACCCAATGACCTACATTTTTGCCATTTTTTCAGAGGGGAAAACTGATTACTTCGCTCGCAAGCGCCTAGTTGTGCAGGACAAGAACAAGTACAACACTCCAAAGTACCGCATGATCGTCAGGCTCTCCAACAGGGACATTTGCTGTCAGGTAAGTGGCAGCAGATCCTAGTCTACTCTCAATATTACACTCTGATAATGATCCCAAAGAACCTAACTACATTGTGTTTTGAATACATCCAGATTGCCTATGCCAAAATCGAAGGGGACCACATTGTGTGCGCTGCTTACTCCCATGAGCTGCCCAAATATGGGATCACTGTGGGCCTGACCAACTATGCTGCGGCCTACTGCACTGGGCTGCTTCTAGCTCGCAGGGTAAGAACGCACATACCTGAAGAACTACATATTCCATTGTCGTAAAGTTGTTTTAGAGGTCAGTCTCATTTCACATTGTTTTCATAGCAAACGTTTACAACCACAAGTTAATGGATACAGCACACTCTCTCATTACTGACAGTGACTGAATCTGAGTGTTTCTTGAAGTAACATTGTATCTCGTTTATATTTCTTGTACAGTTGCTACATAAGTTTGGCATGGACCAGGCCTACGAGGGCCAGATCGAGGTCACAGGAGGTGAGTTCAACGTAGAGAGTGCTGACGGTCAGCCGGGTGCCTTCACCTGTTACCTGGATGCGGGCTTGGCCAGGACCACCACAGGAAACAAGGTGTTTGGAGCCCTGAAAGGAGCAGTGGATGGAGGTCTCTCTATTCCCCACAGGTCAGTACCACAAAGGGTCTTTTGCATAAATTTGAGTGTCTGTCCTTGGAACACAACAAAATAGAGTGTTTACTTTTTTTTTAATATCAACTTTAAAGTACCACCTGGCCAAAAAACTGCAGTACCAGTGTGTATTCATAGCTGTAGGTTCGTTTCTGCTTCTTGGTGATGATACAAACAAGCTGAGCAAAATGTAGTTGGTCCTTCATTTGCACTAGCTGATGTTTACTGTCCTTTCAAGACGGGGCTGAGAGAAGCAAACCAAAATCAAATGTGCTAGATTTACAATGCAACGTAATCACAGACAGGCCACTCTGCAATTGTGGGAAATATTCCTGTTAAATGAAATCCGTGATGTCTGTTTTTTCAAGTGTAAAACGATTCCCTGGTTATGACACGGAGAGCAAAGAGTTCAACGCCGAGGTGCACAGGAAACACATCATGGGCATGAACGTTGCCGACTACATGTCTTACCTGATGGAGGAGGACGAGGACGCCTACAAGAAACAGTTCTCGCGATTTATCAAAAATGGAGTCACACCAGACAAGGTAAGATGTCTCATTACGTCTATGTGCGTCACTGTTGAATTCTGTATTACATTTTATTATAATTATAAATTATACTGAAAGTGTTAGCCATCATAAAACGTAATGAGTAATCACTAAAAACCGTGGTGATGAAGCCGAAAATGTCGCAGTCACAAAAAGGCATCACAGTCCGTGGCCCTGATCGCCTTCCTCCACGACACATTTAACGAGATAAAACAATTGATTTTTCCAACTGAACCTCTACTGTCTGATTAGACTGCAGTAGTGCTTATAAAATAGTCTTACCTCAGCATTGGACCGAGTGCCTCCATCAGGAGCTGCTTTTAGGCATGCACTTACTGTAAGTCTGGGCAATTTCCAAAAATTGTCTCCAGAGCTTTTCTGAGATTTTCTGGAACTCCCATCTGCCAACGCCCCACTCAAATCTCTGGACAGTGTTCACTACAGCCAGAGTGGATCTGTGAATAACTCCACCATGTTCTAGATATGGAGTTCACACTCAGGAGCTGCTACGGTGTGTCCATTAGACAACTTTTCAAAGTCATGATTCTTGTATTGATTATCGATGTAAATTATGAACAACATAGCCTTATCATTGTGATTAATCCACAGCTGCTCTCATAGCTATTGAATTAAACCGAATGCTACACTATAATCTGTCACATTGACTTAGTCAGCATTTCTCTGGTGTGTCTTCTGCTTCTCGGTGATGAGTCCAAACACGCTGACCAAATGTAGTTGGTCCTTCATTTGAATAAACTGATGTGTTGTTGTTTCAAGACGGGACTGAGAGAAGCAAGACAAATCACCACAGTTGGTTTAATGTCGAGTTCCAGGAGCATCATTTTGTATTGATGGTATATTTATTGCTTTTAGGTTGAGGAAATGTACAAAAACGCACACGCCGCCATCAGAGAGAACCCCGTACACGAACAGAAACCCAAAAAAGACGTCACAAAGAAGAGGTGAGTTTCACTCGGTCTGCTGTGTTCAGAGAATGCATGAAACTAACAACTGAGTCTTTCAAACGCAACAAAAAACTTCATTTATTTACCACTGAATGAGCTGTAGAAGCTAAGTGGACTAAGATTCCGTTCTCAGGATGTGCTCAGTGTTAATGAAGCCGTAACTGTTGTCTTTTTCCACAGGTGGAATCGGGCCAAGTTGTCTCTGGCACAGAGGAAGAACCGCGTCGCCCAGAAAAAGGCCAGCTTCTTAAGAGCGCAAGAACAAGAAGCAGGGGACGGTTAGGGGCTCGGCACAGAGCCCTTTGGCTGGAACACACACTTCAGACGAATAAATTAATTTCCATCACACTCTTGTGTCTGGCTTAGTTCATACATGTGTGTCGGTGGTTAATATTATGAAACAAAACTGCTCTCTGTTAACACCCAGGATTAATATTTACAGTCAAACATTTAACTTTAGACATGGCTGTCAATGGCACAAAATGGAGGTGAAAAAAAAAGTCAGGTGGGGATGGGGGGGGCAATGCAAAACATACTAAGATGTTAATTAGTTTTAATTATATGTAATATAACCCTGATATATTGTCTCTAACTGTGGACCTGTGAGGGCCTGACCAGGGTTTACGTGTTGCAGTAGATGATTGATCCTCAATGTTAATATGCGCACACAGACACACACGGGTCGAACATTAAGCTGAAGTTGTGTGTTGTTTATTTGTGCAAAATCATGCTGGTTTCTTCACTTGGTAAACATCTGCAACATTTAAAAAATATAAACATCGGCAATGACCACAAGCTGGACATGCTTTACAGGTCGTGTGTTCTGAACGTGGATGCGACGAGTGCGGCCGTCACTGCACAGACAAACTGTTCCATTGTACGGCGTTCAGATGTGAACACAGACATCAGTAAAGACGTTCACCTTCATCGGACTAAAACATTCATGAACAGATCTCTGGCACTGGCAGAGACGACAGCCAGAAAACAATGTTGTACAGTACATAAATACGAATGCTCCGCTCTGTGCAAAGTCCACTCAGGTTGACATTGTCAAACAAAAATCAATACACTAATACTTTTTGATTGTGTAAATTACGCAGCGTTGACGAAAACTGGTTCACCGAAGCACAGAATGAATGCTTAATTCATGGTCCAACTACGGCTCGGGGACTGAATATGGCCCACCGAACTTATCCAAAGGACATTATTAAATTATATTATCAATAGAGTGTGGCTTTTGAAGAAGAACTGATACTGCTGATTGACACTGTGAATTAATCAGAAAAAAATATGTAAAAAAGGTAGAGATCTTTGATTTAAGTCAGTATCTTTTTGCAACTTGATGGCTGCGTTCATTTCCTGTAAAGAATGTGAAAAATGAAATGACAAATCCTTAGATTAGAGTAGAGATAGAAAAAAATTAAACATTGTATTTATATATATATATATATATTCAAATATTCCTCTGTCTGGCTGCCCATGTTTTAGACAATTATGTTCTACATATTTCTAATACATTAAAATGAGCAGCTGTGTGCTATGTGTTGAAAAACTAAACAAAAAATATTAAAAAAAAACGTATATAATGTTAGGTTTGGTCTTCATTTTCTCCATATTTCTAAAAACACTGGAATAATATTAATCTGAGGAATATAGTATAATCAAGGGCTGTAGTAGTATAGAAGTATCTCGTCATAGTGCAAGTTTAACAAGCTTCACATTGTAACCTCTGTACAAGGATTTTATAATCCTGTATGATGAAAAAACATTTCTTTTGTGGCACAAACAGCAATAGAATCTCACAGCTCCTGTGGCTACAGTAGACAGTAGAAAACATTCTGTTCTGTTTTCTTTTTTTTCTTTTTTTTTCCAGCAGTGCCTCTGAAACATTCCACAGTGGTGGAAAATATATCACGGTACAAAAAAATGGCCGAATGACTTATTGTCAGTGAGTGACGGTGACATGCGATTCTTCAGTTTATATTTTTTACCATCTTCATTTCTAGACCAATAGGTGTCTCTAAGTTTCCATCCTTGATGTAAAGAGTTGATTTGAACGACTGCTTCAGCTTCATGGCTCATCACATTCATCACAGCGTGTGTCAGACTCAGCTCCACGTGACAAAAGCAGCTGGCAGGAAGTCCTTCCTCCTCGTCACGAGTCCTTGGTGTGTGAGATCTGTTTCCACAGCAGGGCCTTCAGGTTGTTGAGGATGAGTGAGTGCTCCATGTTCATCTGCCCAGCGTTGCCCTTCAGAGCAATACAGGCGTACAACTGCCTCTCCAGTTCCTCTCTCAACGCGGACGGCGCGCCCCGCAGGAGGTAGTCCTTCAGCGTGCTGCACGCTTTCGCCAGGTTCGGCTGGACAGGCTCCACCCTGCACCTCTTCTGCGACACGTCGCACGACGTCTGGCAGTCGGCACCGTACACGCAGTCAGCGTCCGACTCGCACTTCAGCACCTGCATGGTGCGTTTGAACTCCTCTTCGGAAATGACCGCCCTGGTGTTGGTGAGACGCAGCTCGTGGCGGTCGGTGTAGCCGAACTGCGCCGCGCTGAGGTCGCAGATGAGGAAATTGCCGTAGGTGCCGTGGAAGATGTCCTCCACCAGCTCCAGCAGACCCATGGAGATCTTTGCCTTGCGGGGCCATGACGGGGTGAACCACTGGTCCATGGTGCGCTGCAGGCCGCTGGGCACCCAGGACACCAGAGGCCAGGGCAGAGATAAACCATACAGAGGCCCGTAGGGAACTCGCTCTGTCATGTACAGGTCGCCGCAGTAGCCAAGGAGGCGAGGAGTGTGTCCACGGTCCTGGAGCAGGAGACTCAGGAGCACCTGAGAATAAACCAGAATTTAAATCACCAATCAGGGAAATAATAAAACACAGTATAGTTAAAGTACTCTTTGAAATACCTCGTCCATTTGAAGAAGGGCCCATGTAGAGCGAGCCTCTGGCAGTGACACACGTCCATCTTTGTTACCGTCCGCCACAGTCAGGACCTGACCCACCAGGCTGGCGAGGTTCGCCTGCTCCCCGAGCTTGGACTGAAAGGTGGACAAAAATACATTGAAAATACAGTAAAGTCCATCCAGTGATGCCTTCAGTGACTTTTCCTACTCGTGGTGCTTCACCTTCAGGTGGTTGAAAACCATTTCCCTGAACTTCTCCACTGATGTGCCTTTGGTGGGCTTGTCAAATACGGGGGTCTCCCTGCGAGGCTCCGGCTCCTCGCCCAGCTCATAGTGCACAACTTCGCCCAGCTTACAACGGATGATCCCGTCATGGTCCCCCCAGCTTCCTGTGTATACCTGTAATGATGACATTTAATCAGGCTTCTGTAGATATTAATAATGCTGTGGGCACAACCAGTGTTATAAACGTTATCAGGCTTCTGTAGATATTAATACTGCCACTGTCACAAACGTTAGACTAGATATTTTAATGTCCCTTACTCTTACTGAAAAGATGGCAGCAAGCACAAACCCCAAAAACAACACACGAAAAAGGCAGTAACTGTGTAAAAAATGCATGACACGCAGATAGCAACTTTGTTTCGTCTGCAGCTTTGGTAGCCTAGTGCTAACAGTGTGGGCTAAAGGCACCGTCCTTGAGACACAACCTCGGTGACCTTGATGGCAGCCGTGTTTTGGGTGAGAGTGCTGTCCTTGACATGGAATGATTGCATGTGGAAAAACAAACTGCTTTATAAATAAGACATGTTGAGTTGACTCCACGTGAGCTTCTTACCTGGTTGTTGGGCAGCAGTGACAGACATCGGCCCATGTAGAGGGAGGTGGTGTCACACAGGCTGCTGCAGGCAGAGCCATCAATGATCCCTTTCCTGTATTTATCACACTGAGAAAAAAAAAAAAAGCAGATAAGGTGTGTTAGTGTCTTTGTACCTCAAACTGACGGTGAAGCACGTTGTGAACTTTTATAATGTACTTGTCAGTACCTTAGATCAGGGGTTGAAACCCCTGCCTCTGATCATAAAACAACCTGCATTTCAGGCCTAGATGTCGATACTGTGACTGACATTAACACGGATACTCACAATGGCGTTCCTGCATTCGTGCCCTCTGCACAGCTCTGTGTAGGCCGAGTACTGAACGTACAGCACCCAGCTCCCCACCAGCACAGTCAGCCACGTCAGGAACAGGTACTTCACTCGCACAAATGAGATCCGAGCCTACGGAGGAGCAGGAGAAACACGGACACCAATCAGTTGAAAGCTGATGCTGTGAATGATGCTAGAAATTCAGCAGAATGATATCTGAATTTGGGACTGAAATCTGAACTGCTCATTTGAAAGATGCACTTACGTAGCTGTGTCTGTCTTTCCAGCTCGGGGGAATACATTAAGAAAGACCTAATGCGATTGTCATTCAATATGAATGACTTAGATACGATAGGTCCCCAGAACAGGACTGAATGAGGCTCATTAAAGACGACTGTCGGAAATCAGAACCAGAAAGTCAGGTGTGAACGGCTGTTTCCTGGTTCTTCATTTAAATAATAACATCTGTTCTTTTACTGCTCCCTTTAAAGGGTGGCGACTACTGAGTTGGATCTGATTTCATCTCTCAATAGTCTCCATCTTCTTTAAGCTGCCCTTACTTCCTCTTCCCTTGTTTCACACTTGAACTCTTATCAACCTTCTTTTCACATGTGGCCTTTTACCCGCACAACTCTGCCTGGCAACTGAGGCTTTTAGAACTTCAAGGGGACACGTTATTAGGTGTAGTAGGAGTGTAATAATCGGAGAGATGTTTCCTGAAATTAACTAGCCATTTGCCGGACCACTTTCGTATAAAGTAATATAAACACCGAAAGTTAAGCACTGATGCTCAGTTCCTCTTCCTTGGACAGGAACTACTTTGGGCTTCTTGAAACTGTTGTTAAAAACAAAACAAAAAACATAGCTGTAACTTTAATTATGGGTGAAACTGGGATCATTTTCATTTAAAAACATATTTAAAAAACATTTATTATAAAAATATGAAAAGTAAAACAAGAGTCGCTACAAATCTCAAGTGTCTAGATGATGCTAAACCAACCCTGGTTATAAGCATTGTTTACTGTACGTGTAAAGCAGAGCTTCTCAAAGTGTGGGGCGGGCCCTACTGATGGGTGAGATTGCCAGGGGACAGGTGGGGGCTTGGAAACACCCACTTGTTTAAAGTGGGTAGTGACCAAAAATGTTTGAGAACCACTGGAACATTTCTGTGCACTGGGTCAGACATTTGCTTTCACTCATTAATCCAGCGTCATGGCTGCTCTGGTGACCTATTATATTACAGGGTGTCCCATAACAGAGTCACCAGTCACTGTGTGTAACGACTGCTCATTAGGCCGAAGTATATAAATGTGCACTTCCTGCTCTGGTGTAGTGACATGCCAGGTCCAGTTATGGTTCCACAGATGGAAAAGAATGAGCGCCTGTGTCACAGGATGCACACATCACATGTCTCACCTCAGACAAAGCTGCATTTGTTAATCTAACATTATTGAGTTACACAATCAGCTGTCACTGAATTTCTGAAAAACACTACGCTGCAAAACCTTGGGCGGTGTTTGACAAATAGAAGAAAACGATCGCATTTTTTTTAAAGGAGAATATCGTAAGGAAACATTTACATCAGGTCTGAAGGTGTTCCAAAAATAGAATATAGACCATATATAAAAAATGGATGCAACCATCTGACTGCACACCAGTCAAGTTGCAGAGTGAAGCGTATACAGTATACGGACTTTTACTGGAACTGATAATCAGGCGTTGTAGTTAAACTGTGTTTTAATCATGACCAATAACTGCAGTACCGTTTACTCTGACGTGTAAGTGAACGTCTAAGCATGTTGTGGCCTTAGCCACAATAAGTGAGTTAGACCAAACTAACCACTTTTTCCTTGGGGAGACTGAGAGTGTCTGCCATCCATTCAGCAGAGCAGCCATAAACAGTTGATCTGAGGCAGCCGTAGAGTTATGGGGCAAATGATTTGGTTTGGAGGCTCTGGACGTTATAATCATTCTTATTAACTTCTTCTCAGAAATCATATAAACCACACCTAGTGTAAAAAGTACAGAGCCCTTTGTACCCGTCACGGAGCTTGCAAACACAAGATGCATTCAGGAAAAACAGGCTTTCCTGTCCCCATTCCTCTCTGGTGCGTTTTACCAAATTGCCCAGAAGCAAAGGGAGTTCTGAGAGTGTGGCTTTTAATTGAAGGCTGGAGAAACATCATCCGCGCGCAGCTGCATTGTTCAAAAATGCTCTGGGTCCCGAGGTGATGAACAAACAGATAGTGGGGCCTCCAGGGAAGCAACAGGAGCTATCAGGGGAGTGCAAATCAGCTCCGCGCTACTATCAGATGCACAAAGATGAGCAGAAAGTATATTAGACAGGGGACACACAATGTAGTCCTTGGTGTGCGAGTGTAAACACATGATTCACGTGTCAAAGTTCAAGCAGTGAAACCTGAGCCGTGGAGATAGAAATCTAACGGCCTCGTGTACGCAGGAAACCATTGTGCAGTGATTCTCTACGTAAGACTGACTTAACACAGCCATTAGATAGGTATGATAAACTCTTTGGAAATGGAGGCAATGTTCATGAACAACTAATCCTGCACCGGCCCGTCGGTCATTTAGTACCGGGGTGCAGTGGGACACAGTGAAAAAATGTACTTCAGTTTTACTAAGTCACAAACCTTCGCGACCCAAGTCAATAGACAATATTCGACCTAGGAAACATGATGCGAGACGACCCAAAAAAAAAAATCTCTTGTGACCCACCTGAGGGTCGCGACCCAATTTTTGGGAAACAATGCTGTAGCGTACAGTATTGTAGAGTTACCGTCTGTCAACAGTAGGTTCAGTTACCCTGCATTTATCCTCATACCAACTGTCATCAAGTTCTTTTGTTGTGCTGCCATTAATAAGTAATCTGCTCACAATCGTTTTAATTCAGAAAGCCGTTAGCTTTGCTCTGTGAATGTAGCTGTTTGTAGCTGACGTTAACTCGGCCCAAAAGATGTCACTCGTCTTTCGTGTGCATTTTATACTGTCTGCGGTCGCGACATTATTGTGAAAGTTGAGTCAAATTCAATAAATGTGGAAAAAAAACCCTAAACTCTGAACTGCATGATGAAACAGTCCAACAGTCTACTTATGACTTATGACTTATCCAGGATACGTGTGCAGCCACAGGCGGCCACAATGCTTGGGGGGGTTGTAAAAATGGAGTGTATTGATGGCGCATCACATCGCATCGATATGTTTACTCTGCTACTCTGTCGAGGAAATGCAACCCTGTCTTCTCTTCCTCTTGCATAAGCTACTCACTGTGCTGTATTTGCTGGCAGCAGTCCAGAGGTTCCTAAAACAGAGAGCTCAGCCCTTTTCATTCAACCCCAAAGGATTTTTGATACTTCTGTGAGCGGAAACCGAGGCACCAAACAATTCAAACAGCCTAATTATGGAAACAAAAATAAATGTGATCCACGAAGGCATTGTTATGGAAGTCAGGAATGGTTTTCTTATTTAGAGATTGACAAAACGCGTGGTCAATAATTACTACATAACACACACAGAATTTTTTAATAAAAACATATTAATTCTATTTTATGAATATTATTTAATATATTGTATAATATTTTTAGAAGAAAATAATGTACTGCTGCATGAGTACCTAACATTCTTCCTTACTTTTAATTTCTCATAATGATAAAATATTTACCATATTAATAAATGGGATAATAGTAATAGTCGTTTCTGTCCATTTAGATAAAGTCTAATATTTTATTTATTTATCATGTTAATTCGGGTAAATTAATCACAATATAATATTAAGTAATAATTCATTAACTATATATAATATATAATAAGAAATGTATTATGGGTAACCCATGACAAGAACATAAACTACGGCCTATGAATCTTTGGATAACACTGAGCTAAACATTTTCCAGTCGCTCATAAAATATGTACAGCTTTACTGATTCATGATTGCCCCTGCAATGGAAATTTACAATTAAATTAAATTAAATTTAAACTCTTAGCCAGTATATTTTTCCATTGCATATTTGGGAACTGGAGCTTCTCTGATCAGATCAGACGAATGAAGATCAAGCATCTCCAAACATCTGGGCATCAATTAGGCCATTTTATACCAAAGCACTTCTACACACTGTTAGAACTACTGCTGCTGAGGCCTGTGTAATAATCGATTTGCAACAGCGCTCTGGATAATCTTCAATCAACATTGACATTCCTCAGGTATTTTCAAACACCGCAAACTGGTTTGACATTTTTACAGCCGGTTGTCAGTCGGATGTAACATCAGCACTCGTCGGTCTGTTTATACACGCGCGCACGTACGCACGGACGCACACAATCTGGTCTACTTACGTAACCATATATTACTAGTTAAGACTACAAAGTGGTGTTGATGTTGTTGGTTTGTTTTTTTGTTGTTGTTGTTTTTTTTACCTGGAAATAGAATGACTTTTTCACCCAGGCCCGTGGAAACAGAGCCTTCGCCATCACAGAAATAGATCATCTCAGTACGTGGACCTGACTGTGGGAGCTCATTCAAAACACTCGAGAGGAAAAATCAATATCTTCTTCCATGTGAAGCCAAAACCACTTGTCACGGGTATAAAACGACAGCACGTTCATTAGAAACGATTTCGGTGCCAGGAGGATCCACGGCAATCCGCGTGCCGTAGTGTCGTCTTTATCGGTGCGGATCTGCCTGATGATCCAGTTCGCCTCTGCTCATTCCATGAAGCCGCAACAGATTTTAAGGAAAGCCAACATACCTCACGCTGAGGAGGACAGAAAAAAATATAGGTTCAAGGCGCAGGCGCAACTTGGTCTTGCAGGAACATGACACTTTTAAGTTTTCAGCCTTTCCGTCAAGCCCTTGACAAAGTGCAGCCAACGCTGCAGGCTGAGAGGTGATGATTTCATTCAGTCACGACGTAAAGCGGCAGCTAAACTCCGAGCTCTGGACCTGATCTCTATGCTGAAAAACACCGATAATGGAAACAACACACTTCCGTCCTTTTTCAAAACAAGAGTATAATATGATTAGAACAACACCAATTTCCGGTCAACCTAGCCGCTCATCTATTTGTCTGGGTAATCCTGTTTAATGCGAGGGAGCTGCAGCCAATTCCACTCGACATTTAAACATTTGGGGTACACCAGAAAAAGATAAAAAAAAGAAAGAAAGAAAAAGAAAAGAAAAGAACATCACAACCTTACACACATCTCAATTCCTTTTGCTCTGGAACTGATGGCACATTCTCATTTCCCTGAGTGAGTCAGTGGTTACCTTTGTTTCAAACTAGGTTGAAAAGTTTTTTTCAGTAATATCTAAGAATCACATCGCTGAGCTTGAAACTCAGGACTGAGACCAAGAGATCACCTGGGTAGTATGAAGTAGACTGCGTTTATATTGACTGATTCACACACGTTATTCACAAGATTAACAAGTTAGTTACTTATGTTGGCTTTTTCCTAATGGATTATGGGACACCTATGGTCGTGTGCAGTTGCTTTATACATTTCATGACTGAAACTAGTTGCAGGGCAAATAAGGTATTTGGTAACATTTTTGTGATACAATGGAATTCCTGGTTGAAATTACTTTGGGGTATCAATAGGTCTCCCCCTAGTGGTTAAATGCCATTTCCGGTCTACGTTGAAGAATCCCTGGAACAATATGGTTAAGTGCCCTTTTTTTATGACAAAAAAGGGGGAAATGGCCAGTATGTGATCAGTAGACTAGATTTGGAGATTCGCATTGCCTTTCTAATAATACAACATATTTTATCCTACTGAAATAATTAAATAGATAATCATAAAGACTAAGTTGATATTTGCTTCCCCACAAACAGAAAAAAACGTCACAGACTATACGGAATGTCGGGCCAAAAATATCTGCCCTACATATTTTTGCGTCTTTAAGGGGCGTATTTATATTGCTGTTGGTGTGTTTTTCTGCCCTGCCTACATTTTCAAATGTTTGAAAAAAGGACGAGTGGAGCAGCAACAAGCAGCCGCAGCGCTTCCCATAATGCACTCCCCGATCATCAGCGGGAAACCAAAATGGCGAACGTGCTGGGAGAAAATGAACCGTTTGTTATTTTCTAAAACGATTCTGGCTGTGTAGACAATAGGAAATATCTGTTAAGATATATTCCTTTTAAGAAGAAGTAGTACAACGACGAACACTCCCGCTGATCCCCGTTTGTCGCAGTAGTCGTTGGTTTTGGCGGAGGTGACCGAATGAGGTATTGTTGTCATCATGTTTTCCTCCCGTTGGGGGTGTGGGTCCGACGGTCAGCGACACGCTGGTGGTGCTTTGCATGTGGGTTATTTCAGCCAACAATCAGGCTCGTCGGCTAACTGCTTAATTTTAAGTGTACAATATCTCAGCATGCAACTTTATGTGCAACTGCACTGATATGAAGGCAGATATAGATCAGGTTAAGCCAGTTTAACAAAGGGAATGTTAAACCAAGGCTTCATAGAACAAAAAAATTAAATAACTGAAGCTCCCTGAAATAAGTTAAGTTAAATATACATCGTTATTTTGTATCATCATCTGCAACTGACAAGTGTTAGTGTATGAAAATGAGTCAAACAGTAAAAAGAAAAGGTTTAAACATGAGCATATGACAATGGTGACCTGGTGGATAAGGAAGTGAACTTGTGTCCCAGATGTTGCAGGTTGGAATCCACCAACCACCAGGTACATTGAGCATAGCACTGCCCCCACCCAGTTGCTCAGCTCAAAGGCAGGACAGATTTTATTGTGTGGAAATTTCGGTGACAATAAATCACATTTACTTTAACAGCTCCTACCCCTATAGTTTTCCTAACCCTACCGCATTTCTTTTCAATGAATGTCCTCATTCCTTTGTCATGTCCTTGTTTTTCCAGAGACTCAGGTGTTGTGGACCACCTGTCTGTCCATCACAAATCATACCCCCAGCGGCAGCACCGGGCTGCGTCCCTGTCGCCTACGAGCCTCTCTGGCAGGGTCGAGTATGAAGAAGACGACATGTCTGACAGATTTTCAGAGGGACAGGACGTTTTGGCCCGGTGGTCGGATGGCCTGTTCTATCTGGGAACAATCACAAAGGTTTGTGTGAGGGAAGCATTGTGTCCGCGAGTGCAGTCATTCTTTAAAAATCTCTCCTAGCCTCAGCAGTCATGCTGTCCTTTTTAGCCTTGGCATTTGAGTCATAAGAGAGAGGTTTAGGTGAAGTACAAGTTGAAATCTCAGGGTTTCATAACAGAGGCTAAGTAAGGATATTAGGTTTGGACATAGCCTTGAAGGCTGTCCATATATGCTGTCGTTTTAATTGATTGTTGTAGGACTAACACCCACCCGATACCTGTTTTTGTTTACATTTAGAAAGATGTGAAAAATAAGCATGAACAAAACTTTGTGAGATTTGTTAAAGTAACACAGATAAACTGCAGATATTATAAAATGTTTAAGTGTATTTGCATTCTTTAACAGCAGAAACACGTTTTTATGTCCCTTTTAGATAGACCGGGACAAACAACGTTGCTTTGTTGTCTTTGAGGATCGCTCAAAGTCGTGGGTTCTTTGGCAGGATATCCAGACAGGTAAGTTCTCATAAGTCCAGAGCTTTATCTTCTCAAGGTAAATTATTAAAAAAACATTCTCGCCCAGTTGTTTGTCCTCTCTATATTCTGGATTTGTCACAGAATATTTTACTTGCATTTCTAGTTTTTAAGCGAGCTCTCCCTCACCACAGCCAACAGCTTTGGTTATCTCTCTGTCCATGATGCTGATAGTTTAACTGTCCCCACTGTTTCTAACAGCCTGAACAGACCACATGGATAGATTATCAGAGGGCAAGAAGTTAGTTTCCTTGAGAATAATTTAGTCATATGTGAATATAATGCAGTTGTAAGGCTTGCTGCTGACTTTAGTCATATGTGAATATAATGCAGTTTTAAGCCTTGCTGCTGACCTCTACTAACCATTATACTACTACTACAGTGTAACAGTGGTCAACCTGGAAGTTGTATTTTTTTAAGACACTGATATAGTTTTAATTTATTATCATATAGGTTTTTTTTGCTTCTGTGATTATTTTTGTTCCTTCCACAAAAAAAACAAACATTTTATGACATTGTTGATGAGATTGAGATGTATAAAAAAATAGATTGGTGGTTTAAAAAACTGTAATCATCCGATATACACATAATTGTAACTTGTGTCTCTTTTAGGGGATGAAGATGATGATGACGAAGATGACGATGACATCGTGTGCTCCATATGCCAAGATGAAGCTTCAGAAGAACCCAATGAAATTGTCATATGTGATAAATGTGGACAAGGTAGCCTGCTCATATTGATAACCATGGAGATGAAAATCAGATGTTTTTCAATTCTGGCTCTGTGAGGTGAAAAGATACTGTAGAAGCCTTGTTGGCATTATGTGTTTAAACACACACTCTATAATATCTGTTATAATACTGTTTCTCGTCTCCCTCTGGAGATTTGCTCCACCCTAATGTCATCATCCTAACAACCAACTGGTCACACGTATTTCCAGCTATGACTAAATGCTATTCTTTTCCCAGGCTATCATCAGCTGTGCCACACCCCCATCATTGATGCCTCTGTCATCGACTCCGATGATAAGTGGCTGTGCTCAGAGTGTGAACTCAGCTCTTTACCCAAGGTGCACTGTTTGCCATTAGTACAATATACAAATATAAATGAAGCTTACTGTGTATGGACTTTTATACTGTATCTCATCTTATGAAGCTTACTGTGTATGGACTTTTATTTCTCATATTGATGTGTCTTTTGGCTTTGTGCTGTAAACAGAAGAGAGGTGCGCCCAAGAAAGGACCGCCTGCAAAGCGATTTATGCCGTCAGATCAGCAGTACAAGCAGCAGCAGAACACAGAGTTGTGTCTGTCCTTCCCTTATGTCCTGGAACAACTGATTTGGGACCAAGGCCACAAGACCAACATCCAACAGTGTTACTGCTACTGTGGAGGACCAGGAGAGTGAGTTGGTTTTTTTTCGCCCCGCATATGCTTTAACAGACGCCTAATATCTTAGAAAAGACCAGTACATTTGAACTGCTCTGTCTCTCTCGCTTGTTGTTTTTTTCAGCTGGTACCTGAAGATGTTACAGTGCAACAGATGTCAGCAGTGGTTCCACGAAGCCTGCGTTCACTGCTTACAGATGCCCATGCTTTATGGAGATAGGTATGACTGTTTGTTTTCTGACATTCAGTATGTTCTAAAACAAATGCTAACAACCTTTGTGCTAACTAATGGCCACTTCCTCTGGGTCGTTATCAGGTTTTATCTGTTTATTTGTTCCGTTTGCAATGGTGGACCAGAGTACCTCAGCCGACTGCCTCTAACATGGTAAAATAATTTCTATTTTTTTTAAATAGTACATTTCGTTTTACACGCCTGCAGCTACCCTACTTTCTAAAATAGTCCCTGTTTAGATGCAGTGCCCCAGTTGTTCTCCACGTACTACATTAAACTCTTGTCTTACTAGTGCTTTATTTGTTTCTCTAAAATAAGCTTATCCTTAATGCAGGCACGGCCAACCCGTGGCTCGGGAGCCGCATGTGGCTCTTGGCCCAGTTTCATGCTGCTCCTACATTCATGTCAAGTTTTATGTTTGTGTTTTTTTTAACAGTACGTGAATCTAATGGGCGTTGATGCAAATGACTTAGAGAATTTGCACAGATGAAAAGATGTACACAGGAAGTTGTAACAGAGAGGGAGAGTTTTAATTGTTTTTTTAAGGGATGGGGCAGTTCACATGTGCCCATGTATATCATGTGGCTCTTTGCAGTAACAAATGTGGCTCTTAATCTCTGACTGGTTGGCCACCCCTGCCCTAGTGTCTTAACTGTCCACTGAACATTTTTATTAACTTTTTCAGGGAGGATTTGACACACCTGAGCCTTTATAACTTAAGTGTAATCCACAAGAAGAAGTACTTTGACTCAGAGATGGACCTCATGGTTTACATCAACGACAACTGGGATCTGCTGCAGCTTGGACAGGTCGGAGAAAACTGTGTATTATTTTGTTAATACACAGTATATTTTCTATCATACAATAAATATATTCTTTTTGTAATCATAAACGTATTTTTAATTGAAACATAATATACTATATGTAATTTCTTTGATAGCAGAAAGGCACCAAATTCAGTCAAAACAGATATAAATAATTTTATTATCTATTATAATATTAGACATTTTAATCAATGTAATGTGTATTTATGCTTTTGTAATGGACTGTGACCTTTTTTGCTGATCTCTTTTTTGTCTTGTGTGGCTGCAGCTCTCCAAAACCCCAAAATCAGAGAGATATGAAAACGTCCTGGAAGCCTTGAACAACAACAGTAGCATGTAAATGTAGTTCCTTCTAAATCTAATCATCAGTGACGTAGATGTCAACTTCACTGTGGTAAACTGACTGTTCTGTGGTTTTGGACAGGTTCATGTCAGGGAAGGAGGTGAAGAAAAAGAAGCACTTATTTGGCCTGAGGATCCGTTTCCCTCCTGCTCCTCCAAATTCCCAGTCACCCAGCAGAATGATGGAGAGGGCTTCACATGAGATAACCATCAAAGGATGCAAGTCCACAAAAATCATGCCTGGCATAAGGTAAAATGTGAAACTGTAGGGGGACGCCTGTTGTCAAAACAGGATTGTACGCCAATTATTCAAAGTTAAAGTTGATGTTTGAATTAGAGTTACAGTTTGTGTGTGTGTTTGTGTGTATTATGTAATTAGTGTAGTTTGTGTGTGTTGTATAGTGTATAATAGTTCATAACATGAGATTTAATGTTGTATCTGTGACGTAAAGACAAAACATCTGCTGAAACACCTGCCTTTACACAGTTAACATCTTACAAAACATTCAGTCTTGTCGTGTTGCAAGGTCTTCATGCTGTTGACAGATGAACAAAGGTCATGTGTGTTAAATTGGTATCGTAGTTGTTACAAGATTTCAAGGTCAGCACTTGTTTTTGTACCATGTGCCTGCCTAACTGGCACTGTTTTTAAAGCTAAAGCATGTTGTTGTTGTTGTTTTCCCAGACCTAGTAATAGTTTAACCAACGGCACAGAGAAGAAAAAGAAGAAAAAGAAAAAGAGGAAGCAGGCGGCACGTCCTCTGGAGAGACAAGCTAAACCACAAAACCCAAGTGAACTCTTGCCCCAGGTGTGTATGTTGTTGTGTATTTGTTTGAAGGTCCTGCTGCTGGGTGTGTGCTGGGTGTGCACAGAGCTTTAAAGAAAACTGAAAATTGTTGTTGCAGTGTTCAGTATTAATCTGTTCCTGCATGAGCATTTTTAAGGAATGAATGTACTAAGAAACTGTGAGGCCAACACTGAGAAAGAATGTTTTTGTTTGAACAGCAGATGAAAAGGCCTCTAAGACTAGAGCCTCATTCCCTGGATCACTTCACTTCTCTCAAGTAAGACCATTGATGCTAAATTACTCTTCAAATTGAATTCTCTAAAGGCTTTTCCATTATTGAAAATATGGATATTAATTTGATAAATAACGTGCATGAATTCACTGTCAACTTGTCACCTGCAAATATCTCTTACACTATTGCTTCTCTGTTGCTGCTGTTGTTGTCGTCTGTTATTAAAACAATTCCCCCAACGCCAGGAGTGACCGATCTGTGCTCTCCTCACGAACCTCTGACGTGGAATCCATAGGCGGTCTGAGCACTTCGGAAACTACCTCAACTAGCATTTCAAGACAGTCAAGGTAAAGCATGTTAGACCACAGACACTTCAGAGGCCAGACACAAATAAAATGAAATAAAATCCTATTTTTGTCTAACAGAATTTAAAGAAGAAATTTTAATTCCACTAGTCATTTAATTCTCAGTTGTTTTTTTCTGTTGCTTTAATAAGACACAACATTTTCTTTTTGATCATCCAGTTTTAAAATCCAGTCAAAGGCCAGATTGGATGGTTTGGTGGGCCACATTTGGCCCGTGTGCCTCCAGTTGCACGTGATCACTGCCTTAAACCAGTCAGAATGAATAGGCCTTGTTTGAGTTTCATTTATGAAGTGCCCTCCATGGTGTAATTTTATTTTGATATGGCCATGTTGTGGTCGTTTGTGTGAACTGCAACACAACTACTGACACTCACAATTTAACGACATTATTTATTCTCACTCCAGCCTCTGTAGCTCCAGCAAGATGCAGACGGCAGCTTCCATTATCCCTCTTCCCTCTCAACCCGTAAAAAGAAAACGTGGGCGGCCACGACGAGCCCTGCAACCCCCCAACCCGGAAATCTCCGCCCCTGTCCATGCAGTACCAACGTCCATAGCCACTGCAGCAGAAATGCCAACCCCTCTCCCTGGGCTCAACTCCACAGACATAGTTCATGGTATGGACCCCAACAGTCAGCTCTCTCACCTCAAGAGCTCCATCAGCAGCTATTTTGGTGCAGCAGGACGACTGGCGTGTGGCGAGAAGTACAAAGTCCTGGCCCGCCGGGTCACCCTCGATGGTAAGGTGCAGTATCTGGTTGAATGGGAGGGAGTAACTGCATCATAAGGGATTTCTCCCACATTATCTTATGTTAAACCAGCAGCAGTAAGGGGCCGTTTACATGGAGCATCTTCATACAGCAGGAACATAACTTTAAATGTGCAGGTGAACTCTGGACCAGAGGCCCACAGATTGCTGGTAAATGATGGGATGCACTAAGTAACGAAGAAGTCCACATATTCGTGACCTTTGGTGCATCGTCCTCTCATTCCTCACAGATTTCTAGAAATGCATGTACACGGCCCCGAGGTTGGTTGATGGCTGGAGTGACGGCACAGCCTGTATTCGAAGCATTAATTGATACGGCCTTCTGTTTAGTTTAAAACAGGAACCAGTTATAACTGTTAAGCTTTCTGTATGGTCTTCTGATTCCGTGCAGTCAGGGGTGATTACAGCAAATCAACACGAGGTTTGATAATTGGTCAAAGACGAACAATTGTCATCATAATACACCACATTTGTGTTAATTTTTTATTGTATGCTATTGACGTTTACCGGGACCCTTTTGTTTTTGCCCTACAAGAAACGAACAAAGTGTTCCCGTTCTGTGAATCTTTCAGGATAAGAATAAAAGGAAGAAGTTTCCCCAATATATATTTTTCTACAAACTACTCATGCACTGAGGTTTAAATGTTTGGTAAAATGTGCATTTCTTCCTCAGATTTCTACCTTCTTTTTTTTTAGTCTTGGCTGCAACTACTGTGCCTACTGTTTGTAGCTTTGGCATACTCTCCATAAGTCTAGAAAGAGTCTTTCAGATCTGGAGGAACATATTACAGGATGTGCTGCTGCAAATGTTTTATTAAAAAAAAAACTACACAACATATATAATTTTTTACCTTTCTGTGTTGATTTTATCTTTTCTGTTTCAGAAGAAGCAGTTTTCTTTTTTCTCTTTTTTTGTAATTTACGGATATTACATACCACAATATGTTGGAATATGTCATCTCCATTTGAGCCCATAGGAGGCAGTGTTTATCGTTTATTTAACAGTTTGAAGGTTGTATATCTGAACTGTCACGAAATTTACAAATAACTAAATAGTTGCTGCCTATGAATATTTTCTCCTGTGTGACTAACTGTGCATCTGACAAAGACGTTACAGTTCTTGTATTGTGAATAAGCTGCACAATTTCATTATTAATTTGAACTCTTAAATTAGTCTATTTTTTTCTAGTTTTTAACTTGTTGGATAGGACTATGGAAAATGAAGTGCTGCATGAGATGAATGTTTTACCGTCGTGTCCCAGGAGATTTTGTTTGTGTGTTATTTTTATGCAGCCTATGCAAAAAAAAAAAAAAACTTCATGCAGTTTGACGGGGACTTCAGCAATGTTTTTTAAAAGTGGACTCAGGTGTCACTATATTGGCGGAAAAACAGCATTTGCAGCTTGACAGAAGGTTTACTCTTTTTTTTTTTTTGGTCAGTATTTTTCTTTTTAATCTCGGGTCCTTACATTTTGACATTTTCAAATGGGTTGTAGTTCATTGTTATTGCTACACCTTGGGGCAGCCTTTGGGAGAGGAATGGGGTTGGTAATCAGAACACCTAGGTTCACACTCCACCTTGGCCGATTCTGGGGTCTTGAGCAAACACCGATTCTCTAGCCCCCTGGGCGCGTATAACAATCACTGCCCCCGTAGGAATGGACCGATGGGTTAAATGCTGTCTGTATGTATATGTACAATGACAAGAAATGCGATTCTTTAAACAGTCATAAAAAAGTCACTGGACAACTGCTGTGTGAGGTGAATAGTTAGTACAGCTCTCTTCCTCTGGAAAGGCTTTGGTTTCAGCCCTGTTTTACGTCGATACCTCTTAGTTGTGAGGATGTCACAGGCACATTCAGAGCTTCTCCATGATTAGTCAGTGTCCCGGTTAAGAATTGACAGAATGCTGACACTGACCTCCAGCTGGCTTCTGCAGCCAAAGAACTTCTGTTGTCTTCTCTTGAAAATGTTTCTTTTCTGACAGTTATTCCACATCATTATATTGATTGAGTGTTGTTTCCAACTGTTTTTTTTTTAAAAAGATGAATAAAAGCAGATATTTTTATCTAATGTGTGAATTTTTTCACATTATTTCTAACCTGAAGTATTTATATTTGTATATTTCTTAAAATATTATTTTAAATACATAAGACATGGTTTGTTATAGCCTCTGACTGTCTGTAGTACCTGGTTTTCATCAACCAGAGTAACTATAGCTACTTAGGTGTAGTTGTAAATAAAGTACATTTCCATTTCTGGGTGCTGTATTTAACCAATAACATACTTTTGAAGGTAAAATGTTAAGAACTAACATTTCTGCAAAATGGCCTATTTGTTTTGCAGTAGGAGCCAATGTCCTTGAGATGTTCACAATGGGTTTAGAGGACAATATAAAGGTAACCATGGTTACAAGATATTTGAGGCAATAGATAAAAACAACATCAAATAGAAAAATATTTAATTTTAATAATTAATATTAAAGAAATATTGAGTGACAGGTTTCTCACGTACTTCTACATAATTTGCTGAAAAAACAAAAACACTGATATTTGATTAGCTTTTACATTTGCGTATGTGGTACTACTATTTAAATTATATTTACATTATAAATAAGTTTATGAATAAATAATTATGTACGTTCCAACATGTAGTTAAGACTTTAAATCAAACTATAGTTTTACTTCCAGGCAGTCACCCGCCGTTCTTCGCGGCCTTGATGATGAGCAGCCTTTTCCACTAATCACGTTTCGCAACTAGTTCTTTTATCCAATCACGAAGCCCGTTGTTAGAACGTGGGACGAACCTAAATACAAATCACTCAGGGCTGAGTTCTCTAGGTAACATGGATTATTTTGTTAAAATAGAATGCTTTATGTCATAGAAAGCTGTCGAAGGACTAAATTATTTAATTGTTGTAATACAGCTGCCACATAGAAGGCCGCGTTTGCTATATAAGCGACATTTTATTTACGTGGACACTTGATGCGGCGAGCATCTTTGTTTACATTTTTAGTAACGTCTACGTGTTAGCAAGTGTGCTAAACTTCGTCAAGCGTTATTAAAAATGTTGTTATATAGTTATTTATCCGCAAGTCAACTGTGTTGTACCTGTTGCACTACCAATTTATGAATGTAACTTCAGAGATTAGATGTTGATAAATGGGGACGACGAGAAGGCTCTTTCACGTTAAGGTCTGGTTTTATCAAAAGTTCTCTTTACTGTAGCGATGTAGTTTGTAACAGTAAACACTTTGGACTGGTTCTCTAATCTGTGAGACACAGAGAGGTAAGCTGAAATTGTGTCAGTAACATACAATACTATTGATAACATTGTCATTATGCACCTATATCACGGTTACTTGTTCATGTTAGGGGCTAATTTGCATTAAAAACACATTCAAGACCCTATTTCTGTTCAGTGAGTCAAGTTTCAAAACTATTATGTTGTCTCATAGATCAAAGTGCAAATTAATTCATGTAAACACATTTTGTAAAATAGTCTTTTCCTGTTTTAAAATAGTTAATCAAATCACATATGTCAAAAACATATCAAACATGTCATTCTTTGTCATCATGTCATTCTTTTATGCACAGATATTGTGATTAGTAACCTTTTTCCAGGGGAATGATTAATAACAACAATTATTTATTTTGTGTCTATATGATGTGTAGTAGGGTACATATAGTACATGCTTACCTTCAACAACATAGCAAGGAACATGAAGATGTTACTGTGATATACATCAAACCACACTGGAATAAAAGTAGTTCCAACAGAACACATTTTGCCACTACACAGTCAGTGAACCTAGCTATGACAAAAAACAACTGTCGAAAATATTAATGATTAGGCAACTACTGTTTAGATATTTAATATAAAAATATGGAAAATGTATAACAGATACCCATAAAGTGCCTGTTATCCTGAAACAGTTTTAATCCTGTCTTTAATCAGGTCTTTAAACATGGAGTCCTTGTTGAGGAAGAAGCCGAACTGTTTGCGGCAGGAGAATGCCTCCATGATCCCCCAGGATGAGCAGATCTTTGGTGACCTTGATGCTCTGCAGTATGATTTGAGCTCACCCATCTCTGAGGTATGTAAAATCTTATTCGTAAGAATTGGCATAGCTTCTGGAGAATTATTATTTATACTACAAATAATGTGAAATTTGAATACTTTAAAATAAGCTTTATTCTTTATTTGAATTTCTGAAAATAAATACCTTGATTGGATTCAAAGCCATAGGTTTGACTGTTCACCACCATGTACAACACCACTTGATTCCTCAATAAGAAAAAAAAAAGTCTCCCTTTTGACTTTAGTATAACATTATACATTGAAGTTTAGTACTGTTCTGCGTGTGACATTATTATATAAACCATTAACATTACATGTACTTTGTGTCCCTTCTTCCTAGGCTCCAGTCAGAGGTCCTGGACTTGCGGTTGAATGCAGTGTGGCGGTCATGAGTGCAGAGATAAGACACCTCGAAGCAGAACTGGCGGCGAAAACCAAAGAATTAAAGTAACCGTGTGACCTAGTCACAAATGTCTTCAGAGATTGCAGTTTATGTAATTGTGATGTGACACGTTTATATATATTTCTTTCACTGTGGGGGTTAGCTGGTGTCTAGTTTATATAATATCCTTCAGGGAAACAAATCAAATTCATAATAGTCACTTTATTTTAATTTTAAAGATAAAATATTGTTTAACTCTTTCTACTAACCTGGAGCTGATATTCTAACGACAGGAGCTGGTTTGTGTTGCAGGACAGCACAGCTGAAAGCTGAGTGTCATGAAGAAGAAGCAGCCCATAATGAAATTGTTGTGGCCACTCTCAGTGAAGAGGTCCAAGCCCTGAGAGAAGAACTGGACAATCAGACGGCCCTGGGAAACCGGTGATACATCTGACTAAACTTAACATCATAGCATTAGAAAAGTTACACAACAACACAGTTTTACAGTCAGTCAATTCTATCTGTGTTATGGATGTAAACACCTTATGAAACTGATTGGCTTTAGGCCTCCAGCTGAAGTGTCTAATGGGCCTTTTGAAATGTCTTTGTACGTTCTGCTTTAATCTCTTCAAGAGCCGAACAACAACGGAACCAAGCGCTGGAAAATGCAGAGAAGCTCAAGGAGGCTTTTAAAGAGTACAAGGCCAATATTTCCATTAAACTAAAAATGGTAAAATTGATAACGTAATAGCTTTTCTGTTGTGATTGTTATTTATCATGATGTTTTTGCTGAAAGTTTATAAAATTGTTTTTTAGGTGGTGGAGAGTGAGAGCAAACTAAAAGAGAGCCTAATTGAGTGTGATGGAGAAAAAGAAGAGCTAGAGATAAAGTGCAACACACTGCAGAGAGAGAAGACAGAGCAGAGCCAAACAATCAGGTACACACCAGAGACTGGTCATTACAACACACTGAAGTCCAAACTGTCACCGAAGATTAGTTTTGGTCAGCAGTCAATAAACTGCTTGTTAAAGTTGTTAAATATAACCATAAAGTGAGCCCCTCAGTTAAGGAGTGACAAGTGCACTTGCCTTACAGCAATAATATCAGCTGCTCAAACCCCAGTGTTAACTGATAAATAGAATAAAGCCTTCATTTGTCCTTATCTGCTCCACAGCCAACTAAAGAAGGAGGTGAGGGAGGCCAAGAGTCTGGCTGCAGGGCACTCAGACCTTCAGACCCAGCTGGAGCAGTCCAGGGAGCAGGTTTCAGTTCTGGAACAGCAGCTTGAAGACTGTGGAACAAAATGCAGACAAGTTGCCCCTTTGCGGAAGGAACTGGAAAAGCTGCGTAATATGACCCAGAGCCAGGAGCAGAAGGCGGCCCGGAACCAGGCTGAGCTGTCCAGTCTTGAGACCATAGTAGGCCTGCTGCATCTACGAGAGGTGAAGAGTCATAATCCTGGTGTCCAGTTCTTGAATAAAGTTTCTCCTGAGTCATACAGTTGCACACAGACCAAACAGACAGATCACACATGGCTGTAAAATGCATCGTAGATGCGTCTGCTATGACCACACGCAATCTGAATGTGCTCAGCTCAGTGCTTAAATACTCACTCATTGTTTTCTGAAAGATGTTGTGGGTGAACAGATAACTGCTATAAATGTGAAGAAGACAATGGTTGTCTATTAATACAATTGATAGGTTACCGTTCTGGTCCTTTTTCTATGGTTGTGACCTAGACTGAGTTCAAGACAAATTCAGATAGTCAAAAATGAACTGTCATTTTTTGTTCTCTTGTCACATGAAGTAAAACAATAGGTCATCATTTTGCAAAGCAGAACTTTGATCCATAGTAAATATTTTGTGCAAAAATTAATATTTTTACCCCTCATCAGGGTGTTTTGGGCCCACTTTGTGCAAAACCATGTATGCTCCCCCAGCTGGAGTATTCAGGAACTGCACACTTGCTGAAACTACAGCCAGGTAGAAACACATGGAATTATCAATAATATGTAGATCAAAACATAAAACTGCCAAAAATAAAACTTTTTGTATTCTAGAGTTTTACATAAAATTTAATGCTGTAATGTTTTTTTTTGCAGGTGAAGGTTATCAGCAGTTGTTGCGGGTGATGCAGTCCATGGAGGCGCAGAGAACCAAACAGAGCGGCCTGGTTGAGCGGTTACAGGAGCGTCTGAGCAGAGCTCAGGAGGAGATCTCCTCCCTGCAGAGCTCCATGGCACAGAGAACGTCTCATTACCAAAATCTACATACAGAACTGTTGGACAAAGTCAACCAAGCAACTGACACTGAAAAAGAAGTAACATGTTTGGAACAAACTTGAGAGACCTTTCCGATTTTAAACCATTGGGGCCCTCGGGCAAGTCATTTCTTTTTTCCTGTGTGTCCTTAGCTAAGAAGAAAAAGTGCCCGTGTGGCTGCGCTGGAGATACAGTTACAAGAGAAAACATCTGTTTACAGCCAGGTTGCACTGAAAAACACCGAGCTGGAGAATCAGCTGCAGGTAAAACGTTTGTGTCAAATTAGTGTCATTTTTGTTTTAATTAAATCTTATTCTGCAAGTAATTTATAGATCTGTTATGATTTTAGCTAACGCATTTTCATCCAATTTTAGGAGAAGACCAACACTCTTCAACATCTCCAGACACTGATGACCAAAAAGCAGAGAGAGTATCAACAGTCGTTGGAAAGGTGTAAAAAGTCCCAGGCTGAGCAATGCACAGAGCTGCAGCACAGAACAGAAATGGTGAACAGCTGTTATACCACCGTGGCTCCAGTTGATGTCAGAATTACATCAGCACAAATTCTCTTGATGATGTCCTGCAAAAACAATGTGACCCATGTTTTATTGCAGCATTTTCTTATAATCGGGACTTTTCTGGTCTTGTGTAACGGCGTTGTGTCTCTATTGCAGCTGCAAGTTTCTTTAGAAGAAGCTCGATCTCGCGTGTTTGAAGTGGAGCAGGAGGTCCGTTTGTGCCAGAGGGAGAGAGACGAGGCTCAGAAGGAAGTTCTCCTCCTGCAGACCACTGTTGAACGTCTTACACAAGTAAGAGCTGTTCTAACCTGTCTTCTCACACACATTACACAACAATACACGTCAGGGGGAAGTACAGGAAGCAATTATGGCATACTATAAATACACAAAGGAAATGTTTATACTGCATGTCTCTTCTTGATGTGTATGTTTTTTTAATACATATACAGGGGGTTCTCTGAACTCACATACTGTACATAAGTACCTATGTCACTCAGCTACTGTAACATAGTGGTAACATCATCATCTAGGACATGAAAACATTGGAATAGTCTGACTTACTGAAAATGAAGGGTAAAAAGTTCCGGAAAAACAACACAAACGGAAGAAAGAAAATGTAGCACAATCCAATGTATGGCGTACAACCGGCAAATGTAAACAAAGCCTATAGTGCCTTGTGACAGCAACGCTCGCCAACTAGTGAAATTTGTTTTATTAATATATGTGGGAATGATGGAACAAGACCTTCTTGATTCATTTATAGTGGATGGTGATCAAAAGCTGTAGGTTCTAAAGAACCCCGTGAAAAGACTGAACCAAATAATAAAAATAAAAAGAGGATGCACATTCCATGTACGTTGTATCTTACATGATCGATTCTGCCTTGGTTTAATTTCAGGAGAAAGACGCTCGAGCCAAACAAAAGGAGGAGCTGCTGCAGAGTTTTAAAGACCAGGCAGCTCAGTCTGCCACCAAGGTTAGTTTGTCCATAAATAGATTCATCATCTTCAACAGAACCAACATTGTAGAAATATCTCATATCCTATGAGAACACATTCATACCACTAGTGTCTCTTGGGGGGTTTAAGGTCGCTAGAGCTTCAAAGCTATTCAAGTAGATGTTTATTTATTTGGTTGGTGATCTGATTCTTAAAAATGGCATCTGTGCATCAGGTGTGTGAGCTCCAGTCGTCGTTGTCGTCGTGCAGAGAAGAACTGACCTCATACCTGCAGCAGATGGAGGATGTTAAAAAGAACTACGAGAGTCAGCTGCAGATGAACAAGGACAAGGTGAAGCGATGACTCGGAGGATCTTTACACTGCAGGTCTCTCTTCGCCTTCTGTAACCATCCAGTGTGTATTAGTCCCGTGAGGATCTTTACACTGCAGGTCTCTCTTCTCCTTCTGTAACCATCCAGTGTGTATTAGTCCCGTGTTCCTCCCGTTTCAGGTGTCCTCTCTTCAGGAGAAGCTCAGAAGCACCAGCCTGGTTTGTCAGAGATTCACTGACGAGAACCTGCAACTTCAGCTTTCTCTGCAGCAGCAGCAGACAATGCTGACCGAGAGCAACACCCGCATTTCTGACCTGGAGGAGTGCCAGAGCCAGCTAGAGGGACAGGTAATAATATCCCTAATAATAAGAATAATAATAGCTGCAGGGGCGAAAATTCAAATATTTCATTAAAACTAGAGGAGAGCAAGGTTGAAAACTATGAAACATTTATAAATGCATACAAAAAAGGGCAGCGACAACTTCGACCCTAGGCTTCACAAACATGAAAATATATTTTTACACATATAAACTGAATTTGCTTTACATATAAAATAAATGCATGCAGCTGTATGACACATTACAATTCATTTCTTACAGTATATGGTCACTACTACACGAGTTTTATTTTAATAGTACTCCGAACCAGAGCAGCCTTGATGAGTCATTTAGCTGTGGTTGTAGCTCAAGTAGTTTTTATTATCGTGTTCTTCTATATCTTATCACTTTTATATGTTTACCACTGCAAACAGTTATTGCAGTATTAGGGTCACACTTTCACATTTGTCAAGCCTGTCAGACGGTCTGTGTTTGGTCTGAGCTTGTTGTGGATCTGCTGTTGCTTTAGGGAAACCATTTTTTAACCTTGTGATTTCATTTATAGTTCAACTCTTTTCTCTGCTGCTTGTACTTCGTGTTCTTCATTTCAAATAGAACACAATGAGCTCCATTCAGCCAGCAGGGCATCATGAGGACTGTAGGGTTGAGTCTCTCTGTGCTTGATGTTCTGATTCTTCGAGCCAAACAAGCTACCTTTTTTATTCATGGGTTTAAAAATATACTCAATTCCTGAAAATTGTTTGTCTTTGCTCAGGTGTCGCATCTGGAGCAGCAGCTGGAACGGGCAAACGCCTCCCTGCAGGACGAGGTGAGGAGCAGATTTCAGGAGGCCCAAGGGCGAGATGAGGAGCTGCTGGAGATGAAGAAGAAGAACTCTCAGCTTTCTGAGAACGTCACGTAAGAACACAATCACAAACAGGAGATTTGCATCAAAAATTTACAAATATTTATTATTTAATTTAATGATAAATACATTTTATTGAATGATTTAAACGCTTTTCCATTTCTGTATATATTATTTTTGTCCCTGCGTTTGTCCTACTTGACCTGCAGCAGAGTGGGTCTTATGATTACATCACAACTTATTTGCCCGCAGGCAGGAGGATTCCCCCCTCCCTTCCCTTCTCACTCAGATGCATATATATATGGAATCCCACTACTTGAAATCTTACACACTTCACTTCAGCAGCACTGCTGTTAACTTTGATTTTTTGATTGGGCTATTTCAGTTTCTGGCCGGACATGTGCTCTATTTTTAAACGGCACTCAAACAAGACAATTTGTTTAGCATCGTTTAGCTATTCTAATTAACTTTTGGAGGCTGTTGCATTTTTTTTAATAAGTACGATGGGAGCCGTGCTGACATTAAGGTGGGGATCTGAAACCTGTCCTGCTTTGTCTTGGCCTATTGCTTCCACAACGTACTGTAGCTCAAAAAAGTGGTTCTGATTTTGACTCTTCGTGTGTTTCTGTTCCGCAGCCACATCACGTCAGAGATGGTCAAGTGTCGAGGAGAGCTGTTGTCTAAAGAGTCGGAGCTGCAGTGTCTGAGGAAGGACGTCTCCGTGAAGACATTTCAGATCAAACGCATGGAGGAGAGTCTGCAGCTTACAAAAACAAACCTGGCCAACAAAAACAACATGGGTACGATGATTTCCACTCTGCACTTTGGAAAA